AGAACTGGCGGAACGCCACCACGTTCCCGCCCCGACTCGGGCGTCGCCTACGGTAGCGGCTGCTAGGATGTCCCACGTGGGCACCCTGGTGGCTTAAACTCCTCAGGACCATATATTAAAGTTCTTGACTGACTGACTGACTTGTGTAAAAAGCTGCAGTGTCTTAATTCTCTTTTTTGTAGATACGAAAAATGATAATAGCTTAGTGGGGTCACATCTGTAGCTCCTTCATTCTACTAGCTTTGTAGGACGACATTCCAATTATGGGGACACGAATATCTGAAGTCAGGACCCCTTGTTCAGTTCTCACTTCAGTATTCTTTGAAGTTGAGGTCGATGACGTTCCTGTGCATCGCAACACGTGGTACAAAGAATGTCATCAATTTCCGCAGAGAATAGTTGACATGACCTACTATGTATTCTGAGTTCTTATCGGCTTCAGTAGGAAGCACTTCTAGTGCTGCGCTATATGAAGCCAATGTGATTCGCTTACTTGATAAGTTTGCTGTGGAGTCATGTCGGCATTCACTCGCTAACAATGCCCTCGAACTTCTGGGAGAGCACCTAGGACGCCAAGAAATGCGAATGCTCTGAACTGTTTTCTATGGTTTAGTGACCGCACGCTGTACTGCGTGTGCGATGAATGACCCAGGAAAATTTGAACAATGAGTCCCAACGCTGGACTGCAAGGAGATGCTTTTCAAGTTCAAGGTTGGTTGCGCTGATAAGTCTACATAGCACATGGCATGCTCTCCTTATGGTGACAGCCGTTTTTAACCTACACGCATGGTTTGCAACACTGTTGGCAGACATACAGTGTGTGTAAGAAGCCCATGAGTGGAAAATGGTGACGTGGACGTATAGATTTATGTTTGTAACTTTTTTATTATTTGCTGCCACGCAATACGTACTTGAGTTGTCATATCTCTTTTCGTAGGACCAATATTTTTGAGGAGCATATGCAGGGCCTGCTTATCGCTAGGCTTCTGCTCACTGTTACGTGACCAGTTTAATCACAATGGCGCGGCTCTTTCTTTGAGCGGGATGACCTTGTCTGGGTCTATGGTAAGTGGCAGTCAGCGCCAACATTTCCGATGAGCTTTTTTCAGCGCCTGATGCATGTATCGTGGCTTTCGCATATTATTGGCACACAACCAGGCTGATCGCGACTCAACAAATACAAAATCTCGTCTTTTTATATTGCTCTACACAATGTGACTCTTGCATTGTGAATAATGCAACACAGGATATTTCAACTCAAAAATACCAAGTATAAAAAATATACAAGCACGCTACGCATACTCAATCAGCGTAGCATTGTTCTGAGCCATATAGAGCTTGTTAAAACATTTTTCCAATGCTCCGATCTAATCAAACACCCAAATTTGCTGTAATGAACTTTTTAAATGAATATTGACTGTGGAATAAAATATTCACTACAAAAGTATTAATAACTATTCACAGATATTAAGCTTCAAAATCTGCGGTAACATACGTGTACTGATTAATTTTTTAGGGTTTGTTTAAAGTGCGTAAAATCGATGAAAAAATATGAATATTCTGACAAGCTTTATATGGCTCTAAACATTATATGGCTAACTGGTAACGCGTAGCGCTCACGTATGATTTCTAATACTTGGTGTTTTAGCTGAAATATTCCGTATACTCATAGAACAAAAATATTCTCTGTCTAGAGTCCATATTTCCTGAAGACTTATGATCTCCGCATACCAACACTGCATAGGTACAATGAAATTGGAAGGGATTAAACGGGCACTCGTCTTTTTCGTAGAAAAAACAAGCATTCAATTGGGCACTGCTGGTATCGTACGTGTAGTACAATGTGGCAGTGGGGGTGGCCCTTCACCCAACCACTTTCTTCTCTATCGATGTAATCTTCTCACGTCTAGATAGCGGCCCTTGTGACCAATTTGGCAAATATGAACGGCTCCCTTTACCACTTCGCGTCTTGTAGCACGTCATCCTTACGAGCTTTAAGATCTGAAACGTGGCGGCGTCGACACCGTAGCTATGCACATAATAAATGCAGTAACTAGAATGTATTGACGGACTCATTAACAGTTGTCACACAATTAAGTGGCTTCATATGAGCGATTCAGATTGAGTCCACTGTTCTCTAAGGGCAAAGCCCTTTACGCTGAGGGGCGTATGTCCCGTGTCATCGTAGTCATCGTAGTATCCAGTTGCGTTGCATGTCAGTGAAAACCATGTCACAGCATATTCACGGAGTAAATAATGATGAGTGCGGTGAAGCCTCCATCTGTCTGTCTGCCCTTCCATGTGCCCGTCTGTCCGTCCGTGCGTCCGTGCATGCGTCCGTGCATGCGTTCGTCCATCCATCCATCCGACCATCCTTGGGTCCGTCTGTGCGTCCGTCAATGCTTCCATTCATCTGTACAGCCGTGCGTCCGTTCGTTCACGCGTCCTGGCGTCCGCCCATCCATCTGTCCGTCCGTCCATGCATCTGTCTCTTCGTCCATTAGTGCATCCGTCTGTCCGCTTCACCCCCCTCATCGTTCACCTCAGGGATATTCTGCGATTTTTTTCTGGGAAGGCAAGTGCCGTTTTTAATTCTTCCAATGAACCTTCCTCGCAAGACGAGTTTTCCTCGAACCGTGGACCAATTTTTAGTTAAAGTATTAACAAGGCACGCACTTTGTATTACGCACACACTTGGTCAGCTTACATGCCATTTATGTAGAGATTGAACGCCACTCAATGTTAAAACGACACTAAGAGAAACATTGACTTGGTATAGATTCACAAACTTCACTTTGAGAACTCTTGGTCGATAAGTTTAATATTTATTTGATTAATATGTGGGGTTAAACGTCCCTAAACCACCATATGATTATGAGAGTCGCCGCAGTGCAGGGCTCCCAAAATTTCGACCACCTGGTGTTCTTCAACATGTACACAAATCTGAGTGTGTTTATTGGCAGAAGAAAACCACGGCGAAAGTTTGATTTTGAAGTTAAACGCTGAAATTTTCACTCAGTAAAATTACAGGTTTCAAAATATATCTTTTTGTATTTAGGCGAAATTTGTTTAATTAAACTCTCTGAAATTTTGTCTGCTAGCTCTACGACATCAACACATGATAATGTACGTTATTTTTATCTAGTGGAAGCCATGTAGAACGCAGCAGACGCCTTCAAATTTTTCTACGTCACCATTTCTGTGGTGATCTAAGGGTAGAACCTCCGCGCGCATTTTCTTTTCGTGCGTTTTTGTCGCCCTGAGTGCGTCATATTGCGGCAAATTTGGTGTTTCATGGACTGTAAAATTATACTCTGCTAATACATGAAAAGTCGTTTTGCTTTTCAGTGTCCCTTGAATAATAATGCGTCATAAACATATTGTATTAGAAAAACTGACATTATGCGCACTGAAAGAAAAACCAAAGTATTTTGATGCGCTCTTTGAGCTGAAATCGCCCGAGCGAGTCCTGTGTATTCTCTATAACTGCTCTTGTCATGAACAGCATCCGCACTATGCAGAAAACGTGTTAATACTGCTGTCTGCCCGCGTAATTTCACATGCAATTGAGCAATAAGGCTGAAAATTGCACGGATGTCCGACGAGAGAACAGTAATCGTGCGACGAGTGAACTGTTGATTACCGTGATGGACCGAACGCCTCATACAACTTCCATTAGTACACCAACTCAAATGAGAGTTGAAACGTATATGCTAGTGTAATGAAGAGCTTCCGTTGTTTCTGTGTAGAGCGCAATTTTCCTCTGCGCGTGAGAAATTGTTTTCTTCGCCACACAGACTTATGTGTGCACTCAGTCGCTTGATGACTGCCATTTTTGCTTATAATACGCCTAACAATATTTACTAACGACAAAATGGCATCCCTCATGCTACTGAGGTCAAGGGATAGCGATGCCAGCTAACGGGATGGTACCTAATCTGAAGCATTCGTTAGAAGTCGCGCGATTACGTGACAAAAGGTAAGAAAAATGTTTGCTTGAATTTTGCTTTCTGTGAGGACCGAATATGTCAGCGTCTGATAAAAAGCGGGCTCCTTAATTCTTTCAGGTTATTTCTTTACTATGTGCATATAGTTACGGTGTCGATGCCGCCACGTTCGTTACGATAAAGGTCGTAAAAATGACGCACTACACGACGCAAAGTAGGAAAAGGACTCCTTCATATGTGCCTAAATATCCCCGAGTGCTGCTAGCTAGCAGTGAGAAAATTACAAATAGCAAAGAAAGTGATCGAGTGAGAGGCCACCCCCCTGCCGTAAGTAAGAAACTAGCAATGTGCATCTTTGAGATTCGGTTCCCAGATGCGGAACATTGGTTTTGTGTACTATCAATGGCATTTACCTCATGACTATTGCTCATTAGTTTTTAACCCTAAATGTGGTTTTGTATGATTTCTTTCGCTTTAGTAACTGTTACATTCAAGTGTTGCATCAAACTAAAGTGCGCTTCTGATTACTTCCTTCTACTGCCTTTCGGCTTTGTAGTTTTTCACTATAAAAACAAAAATTTACCTTCAGACTTTTTCTAATACATTCTTTCTAAAACTAGAAATTAGGCGTTTGTGTAGTTTTCTGTTCGATTTTCAAATGTAGACCTTTCACCAAAATTGCACAAAATCTTCAGCTGTTCAAAAACAACAACAGCTAAACAGCGTATAGAGCACTTGAATATTTCAGTTGTGGCCATTTTTACCGATATTTTAATACTGAAAGAATTTGTGTTTCCTGTAGTTCATCCACCCAGCTATGCTCTTTCTACATTTGTTCAAGTAACTTCCGCTTATCGTGGTAAATTGCCCCTCAGCGCAGCTTGCATCTTTCCCGCTGAGCTTCACTTTTGCTTGCGTATTATGATTATTACTTGACACGTTTGCATACATTGTCTTTACGCTTCTCTTTAGGCCTGAACGAGCAGGGAAGTAATTCAGGGCATCTGGACGAGCTTGCGTGTGTGCCACGAATGTCACCACAATTTTCTGGCCACGAAAAATGCACCCTAGTTTTCGCACCTTGACCAACTGCTTGAAACTTTCAGCGCTTCTTTGCGTCTTGCCTATAACGAAGGGATTCCACTTTGACGCTGATTCACTGAGAAACGTGGTGAGTGATGTTTCATATTACTCTATAGGGGTATCGTATACACGATACAGATATATAAAGTAATTTAAACATGGCGCGAAATGTGTCACTTTGCGTGCACATGAGCATTTCGTTTGGTTCTTGAGAGTAGAAAAAGGAGGCAGTTTTGCCCCGTTATTGGAAAATGTACGTGTTAAATTTATTATTATGCTTGTGATTGATATAGGAGGTGAACTGTACTTCATCACTTGACAAAATTTGTCTTCAGAGTCTGGTGTTGTCAAGCTGTTGATGATATTTATTGATATGTGGGGTTTAACGTCCCAAAACCTCCATATGAATATGAGAGACGCCGACGAGGAGGGCTCCGGAAATTTCGACCACCTGGGGTTCTTTAACATGCACCCAAATCTGAGCACACGGGCCTACAACATTTCCGCCTCCATCAGAAATGCAGCTGCCGCAGTCGGAAGCTGTTGATGTAAACATGCTCATAGGCAATATGCTTTTGCTGTCTTTCTAGTTTTTTTCTTGTGACGGACATTACAGCATGTAGTCATCAGCATATTCTTACAATGCAAGAGAATGCTGAGGACTACATTAGGCAGCTATGAGAATTGTATCACGTTTCAATCGTTCCTTACCAGAAAGTGTACGCATTATAGGTGTCGATTTTGGGTGCTACAGCTATTATGGTGTCATAGCAACGAAGGAAGGAAGCAAGAAAGGGAGAAGGCAGGGAGGTTAACCAGAAAAACATCCAGTTGACTACCCTGCACTGGGGAATTCGAAAAGGGTACAAGCAAGAATGACGCCAGCCACTACCAGACAGGGATGCACTTCAATGCAACGTTTCTTGTATTGGCTCTATAACATAGTGAGTCATGCTCTATGATGACTCCTTCAGAGCATCTTCTTTCGACAAGCAAAACCTACCAGAAATTACCTTGACAATCAGCTATATGTTAAGAGTTTAATAAACATTGCAGTATGCACAAGAGATTGTGCGCGACTCCTGGATCACAATAGCACCTCCTTCAAATATACAAGGCACATGCATATTTCTATGTTCCAATCTATCGCAAATAAACCCCGAGCGAAAATTCAAGCTTCTTACTCCGAACATCTGGAAAAATTTGGAACTCAATCAAACCAACCCCAGTAACATATTTTGCTCTGGGAAACTTGAACTCAAACTGAATGAAGTTTTTGTAACCGACCTCATGCATACTCAGACTCACTGAATTTTTTCAACCATACTCGCTCCGACGAAAACTCACCAACATATACTGTAGAGCCCGACTCATTCAATCTCACTCAAGGCTTGACCTGAGTCTGAGTAATCCTTCAGTCGACTGATTATTCTGCTGACGACCAATTATTTATTGCAATGAAAGTACAAATAGTCTCTAACGCTAATATCTCACATATTTCGTACTACAACACGGCTCTTCATGATGTATCTTCAAATACAAGTGATTAGTGGTTTTTATGAAAGGCGTTTTCGGAAGGACGTTTTTAAAAGATATGACTCACACAAGATAGTTATATCAAGAACGCCTTGTAGTAGAGTTTCGCGAAATCGCGAAAGGCAGTCTGGCACTACCCCTCCCCCCCCCAACCTTCGATCGATAAACATTTAGGTGGCACATGAATGATGTTTCGTTGAGATATGTGTGTACGTTATTTAGTACAAACGTAAGCTGATATAACGCTTATAGCAATACTGATAAGTGAGTAGCTAGACGTTCATACACCAGCTACTTCTCTATATACTTATCTTTTAGAGTTTTGAGAGGGAAGTTTTTCGTAACTTTGCGGCAACTTTTCCGAAACATCTTAGTAGAACACTTCCGCATGCGCTTTTTGCTCAATTATGTGTGCTATGCAGCTTCTCGGTGTTTGTCAACATAACGTTCTTCCAGCCAGCGTTATATTCACGCAAAGAACTGCTAATGAGAGGAAGGCATGTTTAGGCTGTACACTGAATTTCCGAATACTCGACACTGAATCGTCCGCATACCCGTCCTTGTTGCAGCCGCACTGTGTGGGCACACATGGTGATGAAGTTGGGCAATACTTCATAGCAACACTTCTCTTCGCTTGTTACAAAGTGCCTTTCTTACGTGCTCAAGAACCGTGCTATACAAGGCTGCAGACATGCAGTAATAGTTACGCCAAGTTACATTAATTTCACCGAGAGTACACTAGTTATGTCCCACGACAAAGTAGCTACAGACTTCCTGCTTAAGAAAACTTTATTGAATTTCTGTAACATTAGAGAACTACAATGACTGTCTTTTTAGCTTTGCGCGAAATCACGCGTCACCCCCTCTGAATATTTTGTCAATCGCCTTTGCTGTAGTAGCACTGGAAAAATTGATCAGTAAGGTGGCACGCATTTCCTGTGTTTTATGATGGCCGGTTCGCATCTTGACTACCCAACAGCCTATAGCTTGTGGTGTAAGAGTAACTCACACGCAATTACATGAAGAACTGACCGCGAAATTTGGGTGAATGATTGACTAAGCCGAGAGACTGTGACTCGACAATTTTCTTGAATCACTTGATCCACCTCATCGGTAGGCACCGTTCCTCTATATCTTTGCGGACGCCTGCCTCATGAACGCTTGTGTCAACTACTGCCGTGTGAAACTCCTGCCGTACCTTGCTCTCACCAGTGACTGCCGTGCAGTACACACTACTCATTCATCAATTAACTTCTACTGGCTGCACCTTTCAGCACGCTAAAATCGATGAACAGCCCACACTTCACACTCATTGACAGACTATTTCCCGAGACCCATCACATTGTCACTGCTTGCTCAGAACCCAAAGCTGCGACCTCCTGCGGTAGGAAAGCATATGAAAAAATATTGCGCTGTAAGAGAGAGTGCATGTGCGTGTCTACACCTGTATCCATGTTCGCGTGCTTGTGTGCGCGTGCGCATGCTTGTGCGTGTGTGTGCGTGTGTGTGTATGTATGTATGTGTGTGTATGTTTGTCTGCGTATGTATGTGTGTGTGAATGTATGTGTGTGTGTGTTGTGTGTATGTATGTGTTGTGTGTATGTATGTATGTATGTATGTATGTATGTATGTATGTATGTATGTATGTATGTATGTATGTATGTATGTATGTATGTATGTATGTATGTATGTATGTATGTATGTATGTATGTATGTGTATATATGTGTGTGTGCGTGTGTGTGTGCGTGTGCGTGTGTGTGTCAACGAATTTTCATCGTTCCTTTTATTCGCTAGCCTATCGGACCTCGAAAAACAATATGCCTCGTAACTGTAAGCAAATACTTAAGACAGGAGTGGCATAGTCTAAATTATCACATACTTTTTCAAAGCATTGCTTTGACCCGATCTCTTTGTTGTGAGTGAAGTTTACTGAGTGGTTTGGCGTGCTCTTGTGGACTCAAAATTAACACATTGAAACGTTATTGTTTGCAAAATACTGAACCTTTCACAACTTTCAAGTCGCAGCTGATCGTGAGTAAAGGCTACCCGGTGGAAGAACACACTGTGGTAACCGCAGATGGCTACGTTCTGAATATGCAAAGAATACCAAGAGGAAGGTATGAGCCCGACGTACTTCGCACCAACAATAGCAAGCCAGCGGTTCTCGTTGTTCATGCTCTTGCGGTTTCATCTGCTGATTTTGTGATGAATTTTCCTGACCAGAGCCTGGGTAAGTCGCTCTTACATTTCTGCACACGTTCCAACAACAAGTTGTTCTATATTTTTATGGTGCTCACATGCCAGCCGCAGCTACATATTATTGGCATGGTCCAACCTTGCAGACTTAAGTGAGATAGTTGGTATTTCGCGCATCATAGCAACAAATTATACGCAACAGATAAGCTCATATGAACAAATAATGAAGAGTAAATTCTTAACAAATGAAGTACTTGAGTTATATCGTATATGCTACTTTGAATTTAATATTTAGCAAATAATAAAAAACAATAAATATTGCAGAGTTTTTTTACATTTCGGTGCCTTTAGGAAGCGGTAATTTTTTATGGGCAGCAATGTCTCACGGAAATGCCATAGAGGCCCAAGCTTACTTCGCTGTGGGATAACAAGCTTGCAAAGTTTCCTCCAAGAAGATATTTCTCAAAGTACCCAATCGACGAGATCTCTAAAACTTCTTTAAAACTTTTTGACTTTTTCTCACAAGCTAAAAATACCCAAATTGTATACGCACAGCCTTATTTTGCTATGTGTCATGCCCTGCCAAGTTTCGAAAGAATCGTTCTTCCTATCAATTGATAAAAACAATAAATTATAGACTACGAAAAACTCACAATATTGATGGAAGTTTGAAGTAACATTCAATAACAGTGTTTTGAAACTGCGACAGTGCCGATATCGGAAACCTTAGAGCAACCATGGTACTGTGGCCCTATAATCATGGTCTCACGCCATGATCTTTTCTCCGTCGCCTTTGTTCACCTTCAAAAAGAAAAAAGCTGGTATTCAACATTTTGCACTATTACGCACTTCTTTATTTTTAGTTCATTTCTCACTGTTCTCTTACCCAATAAATGTGATGCCAACCTCTGTATCCTCGACGATCTACCATCCTTCACTCACTATTGCATATTTCCTTCTTTTTGCGCAAGGTTGCTCTTCCCGTCACCTCCTAATAGGTTAAGCGAACGATAATTATTGCGAACTGTAACTCGAAAGGCATACGCGAACATCCTGCTAAAAAAGGCAGTTGCTTCGAAACCATTGCAGTGTCCAAGCAACGCACGCACCTGTTATTTAGCGCAGCCCGCTTGCTTGGCGCAGGGAGCTTCGACGGCAATGGCGGTGACGGGGGTGTCGAATATACCCAGAATCTATTAGGGAGGTGAAGGGGAAGAGCAGGGTAGGGCTACAAGCTGTGCTTTCTCTGATTTTTACGTCATTAACGCGTAACAAAAATGTAGGCCGTTCCTATTGAGGGTTATCTTATCTCCAGAAGAAGTCCTTTGTTTTCGACGCACTTCTGTTACTGCCTTGTCCACATGACGCTGCCTAAAGCTGCCTTTTGGGCTGAAGAAACACACAGAAATGGAGAGGGAAGGAAGGGATGTTAACCAAGCTTCGGCTCAGTTAGCAACCTTAAAATTGTGGTGTGCAAAAGGGGAAAAGTAAAAAGAAACGGATAGAGAAGAGTAAGAGAAAGATGGATAAACAGTCACCGTTTCTCATGCTGAGATCACCGACGCCTTGGCAAATACAAGTCCCTTTTATTGAAGTGTTAGCTGCAGCGGCCTTTTCTGTGTCATAATTTTTCATCCAACGTAGTTCTAGCCCAATGCAATTTTCAATGGGCAGCTGTCGCAGCAAGCAGAAATTAGTTTTGTTTGTGACCCATTACTTTTTAATTTATTCATTTTGGGAGCCGAAACAACGCGTACAAGTGGTAACCGTAGTTTTTTTGTATTTTTTTAATGGAGTATCAATGTATCTGTCAAATGTTGCTTTAAGAGAACGGTTTTTCTTACTATTAATATAAGTCAATGTAGTCTCCTAATATGCATATACCTTTATTCATTTGCTGTTTGAAGCACAAAAACGAACGCCGAGTATTAGCATAAGGAACACCATACATCTACCTTAAAATTATTAATGATTTATTAATAAGTGATCGTTGTTTAGGGTTTCTGCTCGCTGATGCTGGTTATGATGTCTGGCTTGGCAACTTGCGTGGCAATGAGTACACCAGTCACGTCAGGTACAAGAAGTTTGATCGAAGGTTCTGGCGATTCAGGTAGGATCAAAGACTGTTTCCCTAAATAAGTAGTGAACATAGCGCATGTATGAATAATAAAACAGAACACTCGAAATGACAAATGTAAAGCAAAATGTCGCCAAACCTGATTAATTTTATTGCCCTCACCTGGCCTTATGTCAATCACAAGTACCTAAAACAGTTACGTGATCAGCGAAAGCTTGAACAGTCTTTTTGACGAAATGATCTGGACTGTATTTCGTGAAGAGTAACATTTACGAAATTACCAAAGGTACTCTCTGTTTTTATCCCTTTATAACCGCATCGATACCTAACTTTTCGACATGAGTATACTGTTTTAATCATGAAGGAACTCTCGTAAACGCAAGTAAGCCTACGTTAAAAAAGGGAAGAGAACTATACCTTTTTGGGTTCATTTCTGAGTCATTTCACATACATGATGACCTAACACTACCCAGAGATGAAAAAAAAAATTGTATGACGTTGTGACCAATTCCATGTTTTTATTATTGCATAAAGTGAGTCGCACAATTTTGTTGTGTTCTGCTGAGTAGGGTAATTCGGCAAGGTTAACTGACCTATTTCTAGGGCTACAAAATCTGGCAGAGTGTTTTTGTTCAGAAAGTCGAATGGTGCGCGACACATCTGATTGAACACTAGGTAACTTCCTATCATATAAGGGTTAGTGCTAGTCGAAAATACAATGTGACATGTCTTTTTGTGCTTTGTAATTGCACTGCGGCCTACTTTTTTGGTTGAAAATGTCTGTAACGTTCCACCTCGAGTACCACAGCTTATGACGGGACAGGACAGCGGCGATGGGGATGGCTACGTGGAAACAATCCTGTACCTAGCGACGAAACAAGCGATACAGACACGAAACGCCGCGAGGGAAGGATGCAGTGTACACACGGCAATCCGTATAGACGCCGTCACATGTTTTTTAAAAGACGATAGTCTTTCTTGGGGACCTTCGACGCAAAAAGTTTGATCTGGCTGCCTGTCTGTATATTTGTGTTTGTCCACCCTTAACGGCATCGGGTACTTGAAACGGCCTACCCGATCCGCAGCGCCCGCCAATCTTGCTCAAGGTTGAGCGTTCATGCTTGTGCACTTGTCAATTACAAAGCAATTATTGCGCATTTCTGGGGAACCATAACAACACGTATATTTTCTGCATGTGCGTCTTTTACAAGAAAAGGCGTACATAAGTAATTTTAAGAACCGTAGCGCTTATCACGCTGCGCTGACCATGCGACGCTTGCACGGAACGGGGAGTTTTTCCAACGCTTTGCTAAGACGAGACGGTGTTGGCACCTATCCTTCATCTTGCGTTTTACACCTTATCACCTCTGAAATGGCCGCGCACACCAGTCTCATAGCCACGCGTTTTGTTTTCTAAGAAAACTGCCAGATGCCGCTCATGTCTCACGTGTGACGTGACTTGATGCGTTGGTTCGCCTCCGCTGCACGCTCGAGGCACTATAACGCAGCGCCTCCAGAATACCACTGACTGATTTTCTTGCGCAGAACACCAAATAAATGTCTTGTTCACTCTCTCCACACGCAAGACTATCATCTTTCGACGACATCTGCAGAAACATGCAGATACGGGGCCAATTTTTTTTAAGATGCATGGTAGGTGCGACTATGGAGAAGAGAGTATATTAACTGTATGGAAAGGGAGCTAACTTGTATTTTTAAAAACAGCTATACACATTACAAGTGAGGAATGAATAAAAAGTGTAACATTCACGCTTAATAGTTAATGGAGAGGTCAATTCATTTGAGAGAAAAAGAATTGCATGTCGATATTCTTGTTTTTTTTCCTCTTGCTTTTAGTTTTGATGAGATGATACAGTATGACACCCCTACAATGATTGACACTGTGCTTCGAATGACAAACAGAACGAAGCTGCTGTACATAGGGTTCTCCCAAGGTACCCAAGTTCTGTTTGGTCTCCTCGCATACCAGCCGGAATACCAACGAAAGGTAATGCTCAGGATAAATACTACTCTCTACACTCTCCTTCACATCCAGTTTCCTTCGTACTTGTTATCACACTGCCTTGTTACCCTTGCTGGACAATATGCTACTTTATTAAAATGCTTGTATTTCAGGACCATCGAGCGTGCCAGAATTGCTTGTTGTCATTGTGGACCATTCCGTCCTGCTTCTTTCCTTCAAGGCTACAGTCTGAAGTGCCCATGCTGACTCTCTCTTGCATGAGTTGCGCGACACTTAGCGAAATCCTACTGCTGCGCAAAACTTCTCAAATGCACGACGAAAGCTCATGGGACCGTGTCTTATAGGTAACGCCTAATAATGGCTTCCTGTCACAACTGGGCAGAATCTGTTGCGTCAGAATGATACTATCATGTCGTCCCTCCATGATGTCAGATGTGGCTGTGACTTCGAGACATGCTTGCTTGGGCGTCCGAGACACGCAGTGTAACGCCTCGTCAAATTCAGCATAGTTTCAGGAGTTGGTGTATAAATAGGGTGTCAATATATTTAAATGAGGCGAAAAAGAAGGAGACGGCTCTTTCTTCTTTGTGTATTCGGCGAATCTTCAAATGATAGCGCGAATTTTTTGACACAAAGAGCTTTCTGCGTGAACGTGCAAGCTCTGCCCAAAGAAGTCATTCTGTTCATTGCTCGCTCTATTTACCTATATATGTGATTTCGAGACTTAAAGCGCTTCTACACTGACCGATTCAAGATTGCATACGATTAGAACTT